AATTGCTAGTTTACTTAGGTCATTTTTGATTTCTTTTTGTTTGATTGATTTGTCAAATTCTTTATGCAAGTTTCCTGCTACTTTGATGAGCATATTAAGACACTCATAATCGATATTACAATTAGTCTCTAGTGCTAAGGACATATTATAGTGTGTTCAACTTTAATATATCTAGGCACTTTTAACTGAGACATTATTAAAATTTTTTAGTATTGTTTAAAAATGCTACTAAAAATGAGTGAAACGATTGAAATACAATTAAAAAATCTGTTTTATTCATTAAATGATTTGAATTAACTAGATTAATAAGCATTGTCAACTTTGTTCATTTAATTACAAATTTTCCAGAAATGCTATTTTTTTGCATTTCTTTGTTCATCTCTTGGCAACAATTAATATATCTACTGAATGAGATATTCAATTAAAAAATAAAAAGTTTTATTCAATTTTAAATTGAGGTTCTAATTTTGATACAGAAATTAATTTACAGTATTTGATTTTATAAATTGCAAAGTTTTGCAACAAAAGATTGTATTTAAACCTTCGTATTGGATTTACTAATTTGCATTTTTTGGTAACAAAATAAAAAGTTGTGTATAAACATGCTTTAGGAGCTTATAGAATTATAACTATTTTACAAAAACAATATGGAAGAAAATACTATCCCAAAAGATCATTATAAGAGAATTGAAGAAAATTCAATAAAATTAAATATTCCAACAACTTACAACATAATCATATATAGATTTGACTATGAGTTTCTGGTTAATCATAATAAAAGAAGAAATTTGGATGCAAATTGTACAGAACACTTAAGAATAGAAATGAAAAACTGAGAATTCCTTGAAACATATTATAAAGTATATGAGTTAATAACTTACTGGTATGGCTATTATTTGTATCAAGGTATTGGTGGCCCTGAAGATAAAGATAAAGCATCAAAATTATATAAAGAAGCAGTGGATGAAGGAATTGCTGGCGCACAATTGCGTTACGCATTTTCATTAATAAAAAATAAAACTGTAAAAGACATACAAACATTTATTAATTATCTTAATCAGTCTGCTGAAAATGGTAACAGTATAGCTCAATATAATTTAGGCGATATTTATTTTTTTGGTAAATTGAACATTCCCGTAGATAAAGAAAAAGGCAAAGAATTATTAATATTGGCAGCTAAGAATAAAAACACAAAGGCAATAGAATTGTGCAGGAAAGCAAACATTAATCTTGATCAAACTAATTGGGATGATTCTGTGACATTAAGAAACCTACAAAGTAAATAAAAATGGCTATTTGCTTTGTTCCATGCCTATTATAAACTGAAAATTTACTAATATATGTATTATAAATTAAAGTCGTTATTAGTCTATCAAGAATTTT